AGAAATATAGGACTGAAAGTGTAATTTGTTCATAAAATTTCTAAACCCTCAGGCCTCAACCCTATATATGCTGCCTTTCTTGGCTTCAGTTGCTCCGCCAGTTGCTCCGCCGCCAACAGCCGTGCAGCTGTTCCGCCACCACCGGTATCTATCTTCCTTCTGTATGTTCCGACATAATTCTTTTTTGCGTACACTTCTCCTGCTTAATTTTTTTGTTGTTGTTGCCCCTCCAGTTTCCCAATAGTTCCTCAACAGTTGAGCTGAAAATTTTATTAGGTCGATGTTTATTTGCTATAAAAATTTGATCTTTGGTGTAGAACTCTATTGTGTTGCTTATTGAATCTCATTATTTCCTTGTTAGTGTTTTTTTTTCTAATACTGCTTTTGTTGTGGTACAGAGTGAATTAGGGCAATATAACAGGACGACACAATGAGATTGGAAAAATGTTGGTTTTGTTCCTCAACTGTATATCCAGGCCATGGTATTCAATTTGTTCGAAACGATGCAAAGGTAGAGTATTAAGCTTTTCTTGTTTTGTTTCTTTGCGTTAGTTAAATTTGATTTCAATTACTTGTGTATTTTCTATGATTGCCATAGTTAGGTTTAAGAAAATGGTACTGTACATAATTTGCTGGACTCAATTGTTTTCTGTGATGATATTACAAGATAAGTATCCTGTAAATGTTCGACTTGTTAATATCTAGCTATTATTCATACTCACTTGTTTGAGCAGTGTTTAACAATAACCTTTTTATTCAAATGATCCACTGATTGAGCTAACCGTTTTAAGTGATATTATTACTCTGGGTGAGCTCTTGATTAGCATAGCTTGAGATTTGAATATCTTCTTTGTGGTAAAATTATTAAGGGAAATCCTGATTACTAGAGGGAAACTGATTCATACAAGTTTCAACGGTTCTCTCCATCTGGCCTAGCACTGGCTGGTTTAGTCCATAACACATATAGACCAGACATAAGTACCATATAGATTTAGATTTTTTTTGACAAAGCAATAGTTTTTGTAGAATAAATGAATTATTGAAGGAAAAGAGGCAAAACTAAGGGTTAGACATGTCTTGTGAAAAGTTAAATGCATATACTGTAATCATAATCGGTAAGCATTGCATTTGGATTGTGGAACTACATGATTTTCAGTCTCTGTGCACATAGGTTCTCTTGAGTTTTGATAATATTGATGCCTTTTTTCTTTAAGTTTTAAGGGATTCTGATTTCTCTTCCTCTTCTCTTTCAATTTGCGTTTGTAAGTAGTGACAATTTGACAGAGAGGAAATGTCAGTTGCAACTTGTAAGCTTCCACTTTTGAGAACTAACCTGCTATGGGTCTTTCAGTGATTCTTTTCCATAGCTCCCCTATATTAAGGATTTAAGCGATTTTTTATTTAGATAATACGCTATCTAACCTTGAGTAAAGTGGTGTACTTATTTCAAAGCGAACTAAATAGCTAGTCAATTACTTAATGAGTCGCATGCAATAATAGGGTAATTTAACTCTTTCACCTAATGCTCAATTGCAATTGAGCCTTAAGTGGATAAGTCGGTGATTTATGATCTTTCTGGTTGTCTTTTGACGGCACACCATGTTATCGAGAAACAATTCAGATAAGCTGTAGTTTTGAGGTCTTCTTTTCCTCAATGTTTATCTCTGCCTTTTTCTTTTCTTTCCAGTTTCGTGCGGTCATCATGAAAAGGGTGTGGGTTGGGGGGTTTGAATCTTCACAAGGAAATGAATTATTCTGAATTCTTGGCTGTTCATCAAGTAAAGGAAAAGCTTTCTGTGTTTTTGTCTGTGCAGATCTTTCGGTTCTGTAGGTCTAAGTGCCACAAGAACTTTAAGATGAAGAGGAATCCTCGTAAAGTTAAATGGACTAAAGCATATAGACGGCTGCATGGAAAGGACATGACTCAGGTAAACAGTGATTTGCTGTTCGTTGGATTAAATTTGGTCTAATGCTCTTTCTTCTTTTTTGTTTTATTCTATTTTGGATACTGAAAGTTCCTTTCCTGCTGCTAATTTTCATTTTAAGGACTCAACATTTGAATTCGAGAGGAAGCGTAATAGGCCAGAGAGATATGACAGGAATGTAACTGAGAACACTTTGAAGGCCATCAAGAAAATTGATAAAATCAGAGTTGACAGGGAGGAGAGACATATTGCAAAGAGGTTCTTTAGACTGTGCTTCACTAATTTCCGGTACTTTGTAATTTATCATGTTCCTTTTCTTGCTATTAACATTAGTTGGCAAATCATACAGGATGAAAGGAAATAAAGCCAAGGAGCAGAGAGAAGCAACAAAGGAGCTCGAGCAGAGCATTCACATGGTCAAAGCTCCTTCTGTGCTCTTCAAAGAGCCATCACTTACACTACCTACCAAGGTCAAGGTTTTGCAAAAGCAGTCAGAGGAAAATCGCATGGAGGAATGAACATTTCGCTTCCCATATTCTATTTTTTCAAACTAAAAAAACACTAAATCGGTCCATACTTATTTTTGCAGTATGTATAACATTTTGATGACATTGACATGCTAAGCTTTCCCTTACCTTCAGAATAGTAATGGTTTTTCGACTTAGTCTTGTGCGTAGAATTTTTTGAACTTCCTATATGAGTATTTTGATGAGGTACGGTTCCTAGTTTGTCTTGACCATGGAATTATTATTGCGTTGGGGTCTTGTGTAACCCTTCTCCTCTGTCATCAGAGTCACTTTTATGTCCTTGGTTTGATACAAAACTACGTAGTTTTGTGGTGGTTTAGTTCCTACTTTTGCATTTGTACATCATACTGCAAAATATTCGAAAAATTCTAGTATAAGATCAAAGTGAAAGTGATAGAATCTCACATGTCAGAAGAATTTAACTTGTATATAACAATGTATTTTACTGGAATGTACAAATCAATGCTTCATGCTATAGTTTCTGAATTTTTTTTAAGAATTTAGAGAAAATAGACAAATACCTCCCTAACTTATTACCAAATTCTCGATTACACACTTATAGTCGCCACTAATAGTACGTTTTTTTTAATAGCAAACTTAGTCGCTGCAGTTACCTATAAATGTTGCCTCTAATAGTGTGTTTAGTAGCAGACTTACTCGCTGCAATACCTATAAATGTCGCCATTAATTAGTATGTTTTAGTAGCAAACTTTGTCGCCTGCAAAAAGCTATAACAGTTGCCACTAATAGTATATTTTAGTGGCACCTTAATCGCCGCAATATATAAAGTCGCCACTAATAGAATGTTTTCGTGGCAAACTTAGTCGCTGGAAATACCTACAAAAGTCGCCACGAATTGTACGTTTTAGTGGCAAACTTAGTTGCCAAATACATATGAACGTTGCCACTAATAGTGTGTTTTAGAGGCAACAATAATCGCCGTCACACCTATAATAGTCGCCACATAGTTTTGATGGCAAACTTAATTGCCACAAATACCTATAATTGTCACCACTAATAGTTTGTTTTAAAGGCTTCTTAGTCGCCACTAATAGTATGTTTTATGCTTAGTGGCAACACTCGTCGCCGCCAATACTTATTATTGTCGCCACTGATAGCAGGTTTTAGTGGCAATCTTAAATGCCTTTTATTAATAGTCTGTTTTAGTGGCAAAATTGTCGCCATGAAATACCTTCAACAGTCGCCACTAATAATTTGTATTAGTGGCAAACTTGGTCGCCATGTACTTATACTAGTCGCCACTAATAAGTTCTTAGCGGACGCCTCCAAAAAATTTTGCCCAAACCCATTGGAATCCCTTTATCACTAAAAATCCATGGATTTTAGCATTAGAAAAACAATAAAATTCGTATTTTTCTATTCAGTGTCTTAATTGAATTTGAAAATGCATACGTTTTTGTTAGGTTTTATTTGCCTTAAATTTCTTACCATAAATAGGTTTTTTCTTTTAGGAAAAGGTTTTGGATAGACTAATCTTTTTTCTGGTAAGAAAAAGTTTAGAACTCTATAAATAGAGACATGTTCCTTCTAACTTAATCAACATTCACAATATAGTCTTAAGGACTTTGAGAGTTTTGGTTAGGGGGAGAATTTATGGGTCACAAGCTTGATATGTTATCACTTGTGTGAACCTCCCATGTATTCCGAGTGAATTGGTTGAGGTTGTTTCCCTCTATATTTTGTACTCTCATTTTTATAGTGGATTGCTCATCTCCTTTGTGGACGTAGGTCGATTGACCGAACCACGTTAAATCTTTGTGTTTTTTGGTAAATTTGTCGTTGTCTTCTTACTCGTGGTCTTTCGAGGTTTGCTTTGCTAGCTTCCGCATTTACACCTACTTATTTTCGGTCCTAACAGTTTTTCCTTCAGACCAACTCACGCCATTAAGAAGGTCTTGATAGACGCCTACAAAAACTTTCGGCCAAATACCCACTAAAACCTCGTATCACCAAAAAACCATGAATTATAGCACACAAAAAACATTAATATTCAGATTTTCTCGCTCCAGGCCTCATTTGAACTTGAAAAAGGAGTATCAAATATTTCAAAAAAAACACAATTAAGATTTGATCAAGCACACCAGCATGAAACATAAATGACAGAAAATAGAGAAACTCCAGCATATAACATACTTCAAAAAAACACAAACACCAGATAGAAAAGCTCCAATCTTGCTAGTAATATTTGAATGTTTCTATCGTGAAATCGAATTTGTTTCAAATTTCCAATAGCTCCTAGTATACCCACACATCTATCTGAAAATCATCACTTTCGCCACGTGAACATAAGAGTCTTTGACTGACCAATAATATTCTGTCTTAATACAACAAAGTTAATCTAACCACCCCTCTATATACCTTTAAATTTAGATGGTACGATACATTTTCATCATACTAGACCCCGGAATGCAAGCCTCCACTTCATCCACACTGATTTAACTTTAACAAAAATTTAATATTTTTTTTGTTTGTTAGATCTCTCTATATAATAATAATCAATGTGAAGAAAAAGAAGACATAATTAAAATTAAAGGAGATCATTAAGTTCTACTTTCATAATTTTACACTAGTAATTTCTTTTGTTTATCTACACATCTATCTATATAAACTAAAAGGTTAAGGAAAATATAAAAATAACAAAGAAGGAGAGTGATTTTAGAGAAAATATATTAAGGACCTATAGAAATTATCTATAGAAATTATAATTAACGTGGCTAGCTAGCTAATTAAAAGTTTTTAAGTTATTCATGTCGAGGCCGAGCCACCCAAAGAGAGCTGAGAGCTCTAAGCCTATGAAAATATTCAGCAATTGCCAAAAAACACCTTGCAGCTTGACGGCTCGTCAAAATTTGATGAAGTCGATGAATAGTCTGATGTCTCAAATTATCCGCCTGTAATTGAAAAAATAGTCATTTAACTAGTAGTTTTGATAGATAGTTAAGTAAGAAGTAGTCAATTCATGTTAATTTGACTTTGAAGGATTTTTATCATGTTTATTTCATTAATATTCTAAATCGCAATCAGTGAAAATATATATATATACTAGGGTAGTTATTGACTTAATGTAGATTTTATTACAAATTTAAGATGTGAAAAGACAACTACTATTAGCTAGTGGAATTATAAAATTGTAAAATTTTGATATTATAGAGCAGTACATATTATAACTACTCTACATTCATGAGCAAACGGCTAAATGACTCGAGTTCCACGATTCAGAGGTAAAGTTAAAATTTTAGTTTAATAGGTTTTGAATATTAGATAATTTCAATTTTTCAAGCGTTAATATCTAAATTCTTAATTTAATATGTAGATATTTAATGAATTTTTAACATAAATACTATTTGTAAAGGTAATAACGTTTGATCGAACTCAATAGGCTTATGAGTTATGACTATGACTTCATTCATACAAATGTATGGGCCCAAAACTCATATTTTTTGGTCCCTACTCCATATATTTGGAAGTGTTAGTTCTACAAATTTGTACTCTTGTGTTGTTTTCTACTGAAATTCATGCAAAAATGACATTTAAATATACTCTACTCTTGAAGACAAGGTAGAAAAGGAATAGGTTGATTGAACACAAGAAGAACAAAATGAAGTGAGAGGCGAGGGCAGGAAAAAAGATAGAACAGTACAGAGAGTTAAGGTGACTGAGTCAGGTCGAATCAGAAAGGCTTAAATTTTAGACAAAATTTGTACAAATGATATGTTTGCAAAGAACAAGAGTTCAAAGGTCATTTCTTGTAGGTAAATATTGGTCACACTGATTAAATGAAGTCTATATATGGAAAAATGAGCTGGTGAGAATAGGTCATACATGATGGAGTAGGTTTTCTAACTAAACCAAGAGTAGATATAGTACTTCTTCTATCTTGGCCCTACCAATCTATCAAAATCACTTAAGTTTGACTCTATCTCAACTGCTAATTTGAAGAGATCTATATTAACATTAAACAAATAGTGTTAAGAGTTTTACTTTTATAATTTTTACACGGTTAAAATCACTTAAAAGATAACTACATCGTGTAATCGTTCTTTAAAAAAAAAAAAGTAATAAGTATGTCAATTAAAGTGGATTACCCATTATAACATGTTAAAGTGTATATACTAGTAGAGTAAGAATATATTTTCTTTATACTACTCCCTCCGTCCATTTTTATTTGTCATGTTACACTTTTCGAAAGTCAAATTGACTAGTTTTCAAAGTTAAATTAAATTACATCAATTCGATTTTTAAAAAAAAATCTAGATATTCAAAAATTATATGTAAGTATTATGAATTGCATTTTTTTACATATCAATATGATGAAAAAATACATCTTAAAATATTAATCAAAATTCTTAAAATTTGACTTTATAAATGAAACATGACAAATAATACCGAACGAAGCGTTAGAGGGTAAGTTAAATCCAAGAAATGAAAAAAAATAAATTAAAGTCATTTATACTGTGTACGTCAATCTAGAAGTTATTTTACCATCTGGTCACCTAATTAAGAATATCTATAGATAGTCTTTTCGAAATACGAGATTTATAGTCACATAAGACACATTTTAATTTCTTAAAAAAAAAAAATTAATTTTCATTTTTAGATTTCGCACCGATATGATATATTTTACTTGAGTCGAGGATCTATCAAAAATAACGTTTCTATCTTCATAAGTCAGGGTAAGATCTACATACACACTGTCCTCTTAGATTTCACTTGTGAAATTATACTGTAATATTATTGTCACATAAATTGGATCGAAGGGAGTATATTAATGACTATATGAGTTTATAAATAGTTGTATATGAGGGACTATAATTTATATGTACCTGTCTAACAAAGCCTTCAATAGTGGAGAGTTTGTTGATGGCAATAGCCATTTGTCCCATATAATTAGCCATGTTTTGAGGGCAATTAGCCAATAATGCATCAGAGACAATTGTGTCTGAAACTGATTGATTCAGATTTTCCAGCCCTTGTGAGAGAGCTTCCTCAGCTTCTTGTGTTGATTGTTGTAATCCACATATTCCCACAAATTGTTGTTCTGTTAATGGCTCTATTTGACTCAAGATTATCTATTAATCATGCATCATTACAAACCACATAAAATTAGACATAATATAAGTATACATATTACAGAAAGTGAAGAAATTAGAACCAATTTATGTGACGATGTTTGAGTATTTGCACGGAGTTTATGAAAGAAAAAACATGTTTGAAATTTGTGATCTAAAATAAGTTATAGACATCTAAATAAATATATAAATCATCCTAGTAAAGATAAAAGTAATACTTTGTTTGTCTCATGTTAGTTGTTCATGTTTCATTTTTCGAGAGTCAAATTATAATATGACCTTTAACTAGTGTTCAAAATATATCTTTTCATCAAGTTAATATAAGAAAAGTTGCAAATTGACTTTCGAAAAGGAGAAATCTGACGAATAATTTCGGACTAAAAGATAGATCGTATTTTAAAGTTAAATTGTGTGTACTAATTAAAAAAACATCATTCTTTTTAAGAATAGAATAAAACAAAATTACATTAATTGGAATAAAACATCATTCTTTTTAGAATAGAATAAAACAACATTACATTAATTGGAATAGAGTGAGTAATATTAATATCTTTGGTAAATTAGGGTTTAGTATTAGGATTTAAGCAACATATATGCATTATGTCAATTTTTTTAATGTTACCATGCATGTTTATCATGTTGAAACAAGCTACTTTATTTTCCATGTTACTAATTTCACTTATTACAAATATTAGTAATAATCTTTTAGGTGATTTGATAGTGCATATACACGTACCTTGATAAGCTCGGATGGGCGGAAATCTCCCATCCAAATGAAACAACGCTCCGCCGGAGTTCTCCACATGCCGGAAATAAGATGAAAGACATCGGTTTTTAAAAGTATGCTCTTGAGATTCATCATTTCATCGTAATGTGTGACACAATTTTCGACGTAAATTCGAAGATCGTTCTCCGGAAAATGTTCAGTCACTGCATTTCGAAGCTCACACATGAGACGATGATGTTCTTCTAGCCACCTTGAGTACTCCATATCAAACGCTGCAGCTTCTACAAATATTCATGCAAAAATGACACCGTGAAAATTCAGATATCATGTTAAAATGTGCGATCATTTAAACTAGAAGTCCTAATGATTAGTCGTTAGAGCATACTTTTACTTAATTATGTTCGCAGTATAAAAGTAACAAATATGAGCAATATATATTAATTGAGATTATGTTTTGTAAGACGAAAAAGATATATCTGGTCGGTGAGTAAAAATATTTTTTTTAAAAAAAGAAATAAGTATTAAAGATTAATAATAATATGATCGAGAAGATTAGAGTCTCCTTGATGATTTTTTTTTTAATACTAAAGATCTATTAGAATGTCTAAGTTTTAGTAGGGGATATATAATACAGAATTAAATTAAAGATAAAAGATAATTATAAAATCGGGATAGAGTAGAAAGTACTATTTTGATAGTATCAACAACTTTGTCCACTGTGTATTTATCTTTTTAACATTCTTTATTTTTAAAAACGTTAAAATTTAAAATTCATAAACTTCAAATTATAGATTCGTTATTCGAATGATTGAAATTGTACCTGAGGTCATGTTTGCAATGTTATTAGGAAGTCCTTGGTCTCCTCCTAAAAGAGTACCCGCAAAATGAAAACCCTACAAATTATATTTTTATTTTTTTGGTGAATATAGAAGAAAATCAAAAATTAATTATATGAATAATATAAGAGAAATTTTATAATTACTTGAGATCTAGCTCTTTGTAGTTCTTGCTCTAGCTGGGCAAGCCTTATCCTACTTGACTCTAGTTGTTGAATATAAGCCTGCAATAGAAAAATAATTAAAGGAACAACGATAACATATCCAATATGATTCCACAAGGAACTGTAAAAGATAAAAAGTATACAAACGTTATCTTTATTTTATGTAAGACAGAGAGATTGGTTTCTGATGGAACTTGGCTCTAACTAGATTAACAAAAATAGAGAAAATTATGATGCTCTTTTTTTTTAATTTTAAAATCAATGATAATTAATTAAAGGAAGAAAAGTATGTAGTTAACTACCTTTTTCCTAATTCTGCTTTTCCTAGCTGCCTCTCTATTCTGAGCAAGTCTCCTCAATGTCTGCAAGGAAAATCGATTAACTAAAAATTCCTAATTACCAAAAAAAAAAAAGTTATATTTATTTCCTCAAATGAGAAAATCATCCGTTCGAGCCATGAATGCAATCACTAATACTTGCAATACGACAGACAGATAGAGTACGTCACACTCTTTGACGCACGATACTTCCCCTGATTTCGTGTAAATGCGAAATATTTTATACATCGAACAATAGAATCAAAAACTCTTACCTTATGATCTGTTGTTTTAGGTGCATTTTGCTCTGAACCTGAATTTTGACCTTTCCTATTCCACTCTCGCTGCGACCAACCAATTGAATAAAATTATAGGCGAAATTAAATAAAAATAATCGCGCAAAATTGAAGAACAAGCAACCTTACAAGTACCCGGGAAAAGAAATATTCTCGAGTCCTGATTTTGTTTCAATTTATGTGACACTATACCGTTATCCAAAAAAAAAAATTGACACCGAGTGTCTTAAATATTTTGTGGTTTTTATCGTTATTATCACTGATAATACTTTTTATATGATTTTCAAACATATAAATTTAATTTTAAAAATTAATATCTAAACTATCGTAATTTGACCATCGTACTCCGAATCCGGCTACGAAAATTCGTAAAGCATATAAAAATCATTAGAAATTAGTTAAAAGTAAACAGTAATACCTTAGGAATTTTAGGTTCAGGTCCAGAAGAAGTAGAAAGTACATTATTTTTGGATTTTGATAACTCCATTATGGATGGCTCAGATGATTTTTCAGAACCACTAGAAACAAATCCAGTATTTCCCTACCAAAAAGAAAAAGAAATTAATTAATTAGTAACAAGTCATTAAGAACTTAATTAATTAGAAAAAAAAGTAGTTAAAGACAAGAAAATGAAACATTATTTTTAGTATTATATATACTTCCTTTATACACGTATCAAATTACACTTTGAGCCTTTCCTCCGATTACGCTAAGACGAGATGTTTTATGTATCGAACTCATTTTTTTTTAATTTACCTTTGTGGATGATGGCTCAACATGCATGGGTTGTGATGGAAAAATGTTGAGAGTTGGTGGTCTCATCATCTCTGAATTATTTTCTGCAAAATTATAACCAAAAAATTTAAAAAGTTGTCAACTAATAGACAAAAAGTTAAAGAGATCTACTTTTTTTTTCGAAAAAAATTTATTCTATCTCAATTTATGTGATAAAATTTTGAATTTTGAGAGTTAACTATAAAAATAACAAATAAGAATTCAGTTGACCCTCAAAATCTAGAGGAAACAGAAGATTTATGTGTTAAAAGTTCCAATTTCTAGAGCCAATTATAAAAAAAAAAAAATTAAAAAAAAAATTATTTGACTTTCGAAATCGAAACAAAAAAAATTCAATTTTTCTGAAAAACTAAAAGCAGTTTATTTTCCTTTCCGGTTTCAAGGAAAATTAAATTCTCAAATGGTTATGTGAGGATCTGGTAAAAAAAACAACAATCTCAAAAAGAAAATATCCTCTTCAGAACAAATTTATGGAATCAAAATTATTTGGAAACAAAATATTCACTATTAAAATTCAAAATATAAAAAAGTAAATATACGTACGTATTTGATCATGATTAGAAGAAGGATCTTGAGCATCAAGGTAAAGGAAAAGTGCTTGATCATCTAGTTCACCTAAATCATAACCTCCAGTACTGCTACTCTCTTTATTTCTGCACATAAATATTAATAATTAATAATTTTTTTTAAAAAAAACTATTTTTCGCGAATTTGAATTTAGAAAACCAAAAACAAATTACATGAAATTTTCAGGTATGACAGAAGATGACTGATGTAACATTCCAAAAGAAATCTGATCAGCGTTACTTCGCTGATCAGAATTATTTTGAAATAATAGTTGTTGGTGTTGATGCTGATGTTGAGTTTGTTGTTGTTGTTGATGAAACTGATGATCATGATTTCCAAAAGTTATTTGATTTTCATGACTTTGAAGACCCATTATTTTCTTTTTTGATAATTGATGATAGAAGCAAACTCCTTATGTTTACTCTTTTCTCGTGGTATATATAGAGAGGCGCGCAAGATGCTTTATGTACCGTGTTTGCTTTTTATAGAGAGAGAATAAAGGTAAGACAGCTAGCATCAGTCGGTGTACGGTACTAAAGATAGAGAGATATAAAATGTTTTTTTCCTCCTTTTTTTGATGGAGAGAGGATAAGGAAACGCGAATTGAATGCTAACGAAGCAAAAAGACAAATCTATTTTTAAGCAAAAGAAGGAGGAGGAGAAGAAGAAGACGATGATTTTATTTGAATTTTTTTTAAAAGAAAATTTTATTTTGAAGGATATCTAGAGTGATCTCTAATATGGAAATGGACGTTTTTGAGCTTCCTTGTTCAACCATCTTAGTAGTGAAATGACATATATGACCTCTTCTTCTTTGGTATTATTACCTTTTGACATTTTCATGCAACTACCAACTCGTACTAGCCACCTCTTTTACGGTTAAACTTTGTAAACTTTTTATTTTATCTTATGTTAAATCATGTCTATAACTAGATTATTGTGATTGATGATTCGTAAATGGCTTGAGTCAAAATCATAATAAAAAATAATTTAATTGCTTCATGATGAGCTTGATAAATTACAAAAGATAACATTGTGGAGTATCGATATCGTTATTATTAGCTATAACCTTAACATAATAATAAGTGTTTGATTATATCTAGTGAAAATCGCTGAGTGTATGCAAACATATATTATGCCTATATATAGTGAGACTAAGGTGATGTGGCCGGTTGGGTATGACCTCGATCAGAGTCATGATTAAATATAATATTAATTACTTAATTAATTTGGCTAAGAAATAAAGTTGTGGAGCTTGCTAGCTATCAAATACTTGTTTGGCATGATAGTAAGCATTTGAACAAATTACAAATGGCGGTGGTTGTTGGTGGGGGGAGGGAGGGGAGGAGGGGGGTTTCATGATCGAACATGACATTTGTTTGATAGACTTAATTAAATAAAAAATAAAAATTGTGAAGTCCTTATTATTAGCTATACCTTTGTCATTATAGTAAATCCTAGATCCTAACATCTTTAATTATAATTTTTTTATATCCAAACGTATAAATATTCTCATTATATCGAATTATGTAGTTCTATACTAGTGTTCCCTCTATGCAAAAATTATGGCTCTCTAATACGATTCAACAAAGCTAACGGTAATCGAAATGATAATTTTTTTTATAAAAAGGGATAATCAATAATTTAACTAAAATATGAGAATTAAACTATCCTTGAATGTAGGCACATATTAATGTGCTCCTTATTTTTATCACGCTTACTCTTGCATATTATGACACTTTATATTTATCTTGTCATAATTTGGAATATTTCAAAATTTCCAAAAATATATAATTTTTTAATTTCTTAAACTCCGTTAAATTTGAAAAGTTAATACAACAAATGAATAATTAATCACATTATGGAGTTAGCACTTGTACATGTGATGATCGTTAGATAGTCACAATATAGGTGAAATTACTTTGACTTAGATTGTGGGAATAACAATATATTAATTAGTCACAATTCACTAAAACACAATGAGAGGGACATAGATTGGCATGCTTCCCCACATTTTTTAAATAAAAATATTTACAGTAAAAAAAAATATAAAAATATTTTGATTAACAACTTGAACAGAGTAGATTTTTATATTTACACATTTAATTTTAAAAAATTAGAGATGAACTTACTCGCAATTATTACTTATACATACAAAAAAAAAAAGGAAATGTGTCATTAGAATATTTATTCTTATAATATAATTAAGTCCACCCTAATTTTTTATTTGGAACATCATTGTCAATAAGGTTTGAGAGTATATATGCACACAAAAGAATATATATATATTTCTCATTGTTTTATAAGAGAGTATTAATTAATCAAACTAATACTTATTTTTCAGTCACTTTCATCTAATTGGCTATGTCAAACCCTTCCAACCATAAAATGGTCAACCATTGCTTCCCAAAGAACAATGAGAATAAAATATTCTATCTTGTCTTTGTTAATATTTAGTTAAGCGGTATGAAAAGGATGATGTATATGCAACATTATTGTTATTTCAATATCGTTTTTGATAGAAATCTGGCGCAAATACAACATAATATAATCAATTGTGAAAAGTAGATACATTAATGCAAACAGTCATGTTGAAATATAATGAAGAAGAGAACAATAACAATTAAACAGAATACGATAATCGAATCAAATAAAACTACTAGTAATAATTAAATGGAAGAACAAAACATAATATGTGATCAATATATAGTAACACTCGATTACGTATCTTGAATTTCTATCTTCATGTCCTCGTATATATCCAGGCTATATCTTCGATAAATGGCTAGTATATTATATATAATATATCCTATCTAATTACCTCAAAATATTTCTTTGATCTATCTATATCGCTCCTCATACCTCGTAGTCAAACTCATTGGATACTAAATAGTACGTGCTATCTAAATAGAAGGTTCTCTATGCTAATTCATTTATATAAGTTTTTTTTTTCTTGAATTAATTCACGCATGTTGCTCTTTGAAGTTTAGGTCACCAAATCTTGCTTTCATTCCCTTTAATTTAACAACAATTACTATTTTATAATATTGAATATACTATCCAAGAGACGTACAAAATATAGCTAAAAGATAATTAATATAATTATTCAGTCTTCTCACACATATAAATGCCAATTAAAAGAACAGTCCAAGTCACGACCAATTAATTAAAATAATTAAATAATTATTAGACTTGTTTTTTGTATTTTTTTCTTCTTTTTTTTCTATTCCTATTTCAATTGAGAAAATGAATTTTAAGAAGCTTATGAATCATGTGCTATCAATTTTCTGAATTACAAATATTTTCCCTTCAAAATAAATAAATTTTTGAGGCGTGAATTATGATACACCCGTTAAGAAATTTAACGACATTAATTAAAAAGCAATTTTTCAGTGTTATCTTTTCTTTTTTTTTTCATAAAGCTAACAGTAGTTTTAAGAAATCATTCAAGAGAGAAGGGTAATTTTGAAGGGGAAAAAAATTAAATACATCTTTGGGCTTTAAAATATTTATTTATTTTGAACTATAAAAAAAATGTCAAATTCATTTATTTAAAACAGAAGGAAGATTAATTACCATAAAGTGAATAATACCAACATAGCATATTACCTATGTCAGTTTAAAACCTAACAAAGATTTATAAAATATTGGAAAATATAGAAATAAAACAAAATTATCTTATTTCTGAAGACAACAGATACAACCGTTGACCAAATATTAATTTAAGAAATTAAAAGAGGATTAGACTATAGCAACAATTTTAAATTAGGTGGTACATATGCGTAGCTCTTTTTAAATACGATAAATTTAATTTATGAAAATTTAAATGGATTATTGATTCACTATTAATAGCTTAATTTATTTTAATTTATCAAAAATCTCGAATATACTAACCCGCATCCAAATAATTACTTCACTATAAGAATTATTTTTTTTATCACATTGATCCTTTTTTCTCCAAAATCATTTTTTATTGCTATTTTCAAAATATAATAAGTATAATGGTCATATTTTTTTTAAAAATTAGAATTATTCGTTTGTTCTACACTAAATATATGCTTGAAAATGTAAGCATTAATTCAGTTAATTGATGGTCTAAATTGTTACTTTTTTACGAGGAAACTATTATCATTTTTATAATCCCCTTCCTTATGCATAATAAAATAAATAAAATTGACACTTTAAATGTATAATAACATAATTAGATACAATGTATCTCTGATCAATTATTTGATTCAAAATATTTTCTTCTCATTAGTTTGCACTAATCTTTCTGTCACAAGCTACCTTTTATTTAATTTAATTTTTTTTATTTGTCAATCCATCATTGAGCCTCTTGTCAACCAATTAAAAACAGTATATTTTATTTTCTTTTTCTTAGACTTTTTGAGTCTTTCTTGTTAATGAAAGTCAAATTTGTCAAATTTAAAATTTTAATTTGATTATATTTTAAAAATAAATACTTACACTACAAGATATTTGTATCAAATGAATTATGTAAAATTATTATAATTAAGTGATGCGGAATAGTGAGAATATATATATCAACGAATCATGATCAAAATGTTAAAAGTTTATGTACAAAATGCATATCATATATTATTTGTCTTACATAAATAGTGAATGTGAACAAGTAATTAAAATGCATGATGAGTGGGGAAAAATAAATAACCACAACAATAATATAATCAACGAGATTTTACAAATAAAATTTTAAAAAAATAAAAAAATTAAATAACAAATTCCATTAATAGAAAATTTCCAAGTTCCCATGTTCTAATATTTTGTCCATAAAAAGGCAAAAATCTGTTATGCTAAACGACTCGAGACTTTAAAGAAGGGGGTTGGGAACTTGCTTGAAGGCATGGAGAACTAATATATATTTAAAAAAATTCGAAGATAAACTTAATAAATAAAGTCAAATAAATAATAAAAACCAATCCATATTTATTTTTTGGTTGCTTTCACCTCATAACATAAGATTTTTAGAACATCTTATCAAATTAAAGAAGGCATTTGGACTATAAGAATATTTATCTTAATTATCATCAAACATCTCAATAACAATATCATTTGTCTAGCAAAATAATATTATAAAGAGCTTATAAAATAAACATGAAAAGTCAATTTAAAAATTCTTAATCCTTATAGTAAATTGTTATTAAAAAAAGAAGTCCGGCAGTAGTTGGGACAAATAAAATAAATCCTTAATTTTAACGATGAGAAAGAGAAAAGCTTTTAGTCACATGTAGGTGTATTTGGAATGAATTTTTCTAGTTTTCCCATTATCAGCCGGTTCTTACGTATTGAATAGAAGAAAATATCACTTGTTTTCTAGAAAAAATATTTTTCAAGATGGACCAAGTAAATTGCTATGTACTTGGGTCGGTCTTATATAAAGGGATGGAGCTAGTAATCTGTATACAGGTTTAATCGAATTTAGTAAATTTTATTTAAATAATATAGGAGTATATATTAGGAAAACTTTTACATATAGCAAATAAAATTTTTATATTTGTATGTTATAACAAAATTTGCATAATTGCGCTTCATAACAAACATATAATTGTATAAATTCGCTATACATATACAACTGTATAATTCGCTGACCTAAATTGTATAATTCGCTAGCCTCACTATACATATATAATTGTATGATTCGCTGACCTATTTCGATGCGATTGTATGATTCGTTGGTCTGTTTCGCTGCAATATATGTATAAAATTTGTTTTGCATACAATTGAATCAAACTAAAATGTTTGTATATTGTATAATTTTAAGTATATAGGAAGAAGATATATGTTTTTCTCTCGCTTTGTACAAAAACAGAAACACAATTTATACACTTCTGTTGTATAAAGCGAGAGAAAATTGTATTTCACTGCGATTGTATAATTCGCAATTGTATAATTTGCTGGCCTTTTTCGCTGCAATATTCGTATAAAATTTGCATTTGTATACAATTGAATCGAAGTAAAATGTTTGTAAATTGTATATTTAAGTGTATAGCACGAAGATATATGTTTTTGCATGTGTATAAACAATTTTATCTCGCTTTATACAAAACAGAAACACAATTTATACATTTCTATTGTACAAAGCGAGAGAGCCGAGCAGAGGGAGAGTGGTGAGCGAGAATGGGAGAGTGGCGAGCGAGAGTTTTGGGAGAGAGGCGACTGACAAACTTTGGCAAACGTTTGTTATGGGGTACAATTAAATCAAACAGTAACTACTTCATTTATTTTAGATTATTAGTTTGCTATTATATACAATTATTCCTATATATTATTAAATTCATTAGATATGTACGTATATTAGATTTAATCCTCAATTATTATCATTTATAAAATTCAAAACCTATAAAATTAAAATCTTATCTTCGCGTTTGCCTTAGATGGACCAAGAAACCAACATACACCTTATTAATATTTCCAACAAACTACTTCCTACCCTCTCTCTCTCCAAACAACAACATTAATCTTAGTCCAAATCTACAATGGGGTCAATGAATGTGCCCTCTTTTTCTGTTTTCTAAAAATAGAAAATTGTTGATAACTTTTTAAAGTAGGTTTTATTTCTGTCTGAAATTGTTTTCTATTTGCCTTGACTTAGTATTCTCACTTACTGTCTTCCAAATTTACATTCAAGTCATGTGCAATTTTTCCTTCTGATTATTCAAAAGAAATTTCTCCTCTCTGTGGGGAGCAAAAATGGAATATTCAAAAAATGCGAAGACAAATTTAAAATTTAAAATTTTAACAAATACGATTTAATAAATTTTTTATGTATATTTAATAAATTGCTTAATATAAATTCAAAATTTAATTTATTGAGTTCTATCGAACTCATAGCTAAAACTCTTAACTCCGTCCTTACAAGAGACACAACTCTTGAAGAGAAAAGAAGTGAACCCTATTTAAAATAGGGAAAAGGGTATGATATATCGTTCAACTTTGTTATTTAGAGCTGATGTACTTATATACAAATGATTCATATATACCCTACTTATATACAAATGACTCACATATACCCTTTTCCTCAAATTAGTTTAATTTTTAACTTTTTTCTAGAAAAAGATATAATTCCGTATGAGTATATTTAATCCTCCTCAAATATATATATATATATATATATATATATATATTTTGACTTTTTTTTTGTTTCAGTGACTAATTTAGATTTATTATTTTGATGGTCAAATTTATTTATGTTTCACTAATATTCTTGTAGAACTTATTATAGATGACCAAATTTTTTTCTTCAAATATAAAAATTAAATTACAATATAGGTAAAAGAAAATAATTTTAAATTGTAATATAGCCACAAAAGAAATAGTTTTAAATTTTTTCTTTACACTAAGGAATGAAAGAAAAAATAAGAATAAAAACTTAAATAATTATAATAAAAGAGGTCAAAAAATAATTTTATGAAAAAGATTAAGATATGCTTTGAACTTTACTAGAAGAACTATATATACCCCTAAAACTTTTAAGAAAATTAGTCAAAAATATAAATTTAAAACTAATTTTTTTCACTTCCATTAAATGAGTCACTTTCATAATAATGGCATATCAACTTCAAATGATCGACAATGTTTAGGGATATATCAAACTCTTTTCCGTTTAAAATAAAATAAGGAAAGCCTAAGACTAATGTTGTAATTTTATCTTCAGTCAAATCCTTTTATAAAGATGTCATTTGTTGGGATATATTTCATGATTGTTATAATTAAATATTGATATAGAGAAACCTATAATATAATGTAACATATTAAAAAAATGATTTTTAAATATATTTCTTACATTTACTTTTTTTACAAGCTCTTTTTTTGACATAAAATTGATTTAAACATTATTGATCCAATTAATTTAAATTGGTGTTTTTATTTGTCATTTGTTGTTTAATATATTATTTATAGATTAATTTCAGATTTATGTTGAAAAATTCTACTTTAGAGTTTGAAAGTAAAGCGCTTTCCATTAAAAGTGACTTCTAATTAAAGTATTTAGTACACCATCAAAAGTTGTGGTGACATTCTCTACAACTATAAACCATATAAGCAAACCATACTCTTTATCCTTTAAATAGTGTTTAATTTGTATGAAACATTAATTATGAATAGTTTAGTTGTAATATCTGTTAACGTAACACTTATTTTGAGATGGACGGAGTAAATAAAGTGTCTACTTTTAAAATCTTGGCTGTGTTAGGAGTTGGGACAATTTGGAACAAACAAACACAGTCTAAATATGGCTTCAAGACAAATGATGAATTGTTCTTGATTTTTGCTGCTAAGTCCTCGTAACGTTTCACATTGGACCTTCTGCTCCAATTATTTAATCTCTTTTTTTTTTCTTTTTTGTTTTGTGTCACAACTCACAACAATCATGTTAATATGTAACGCAATGTGTAAATGTAATGTCATGTTAAACTACACTCAGATCAAGTTAAACATATTTAACTATGCAATGTGTTAATTAGAATTAGATGCTTCGAATATGAATGCATCGAGGATATGATAATTTTGTATAAGCTAAATATTCTTAATTTGATATTAGGTCTAGATCAATTTGATTTGATATTCGATATGTATCAATATTAAACCAAATCATGAACACCTTAATTCTAACGATTCGAGATTTTGTCCAACAAATCCTAACGATCATCGTAATTTGCTACTTAAGCAAGTGTTGGTCCATTAACAAGTTATGTTTTGAATTTTTTTCGAAATGAGGCTAAAATTTAAATGGTAACTCCCACAAAATTACTCGAAAAGAACATAAATCACATACTTTTTAAGGTAATATTACCATCTGTCCCTTATAAATTATAATTATAGAAATCCCTCAAATTGATACAATAATATAAGTGCTGATACATTGATCTGATGTGCGAGATACATTAATCGTTAAGTAAGATACATTACATTTTATACGTGATACACTAATCTGATGTACATTTTATACATGATACACTAATTTGATGCGCGATATACATTAATTTGATACGTTGTCCATTAATCTGATGCGTGAAAATGAGGGATTTCGGGGATTTATAAAACTAATAGGGAATAATGGTAATAAGAGAACTTAAAGGTGAGATTTGTGTCTTTACATTCAATTATTAGATAGAAGGCCCAATTAATTTTCACTCAAGCCCATAGAAGAAGCCTGTAAGTAATTAGGGCCAATAAGCCCACATATTGTGACCATTGGCCCAAAGCAAAAGAAGCCCATTGTTACTTTACACAGCTTTATTAAAGTGAAAACAAACAGAAAATAGAAAAAAAGAGAATATTCCATTTTAAAAAAAAGTCGGCCATTTACTTCTTTTTTTGGAAAAAAATATTTTGTGGTCCTCAATATATTTTTCTACCTCTTCTGACATACTCTTTTGCTTTTTCATAAAGTATTATTTGTTGGACTAAATCAACTGAAACATATTATTGTCAGCTAGCTTCATTTATTATAATATTATGTAAATTTACTCTTAAAAGTTATGAAACTCTATTCGCACGTTCATATGCTATATTACTAATGATTTATCAATCAAATGAAAATGACTTAGAATTTGTGCACCATGTACATGGTTTTAGAATACAACATGTAATATGGATTAAATCCATGTCATAGGTTCGAGTATGTGATGTGAATTAGATTCAAGTCTCGAATTGATAAAGAGATGGGACCGTTATCAAGCCTCGTGATTTTTGATTTATCGAAGAAAACCCAAAGTTATGGATATATCAATATAGAGCAACATTATGTCAACAAAAGAACACATCCCAAATTGAAACTTTTGAATTGAGTATTGGGGGCTTGTTCAAAACAAAATAACTTGCAAGCTACATGATTACATACATAGATTTGCATCAGCAGCCAATTTTTTTTTTGAAAAACATAGAGCAAATAGAAAGCAAACTCACTAAACTAACAGTTTCACCAGGATCTTATGCAAAATAGTAGGAGAGCCCCACAATTTCAGCATCATTTTCGACGATTCAATGCAAAAAAACAGAAGGTAGGATAGTTGTTTAAGGGCATGGGTTATAGCATGCAGTCTGTTCTAGCAGGCAACCTTCTGAAGAAGTTAAGCGGCACAGATGGAAGCTTGTAGCGGAACCTTGGATGTCTTAATACATAAAATCCGGTCAAGAGCCCCACGGCTTGGAATGGAGTGACATAGAGAACAACAGCAGCAACCAAGCAGAAAATTACGAACAATGCTGTTGCTCTAGGGTCCCTCCAGCTCAGCAAAGACTGCAGCCTCTCTCCTTGAGTAGCCAAGTCGCCAACCACGGTCTGAATCCTCCCTGCAATACTTCTTATGCGGTCATACCTCATCCTGATAATATCAGGAGAACGTGAAGTAGGGAAAGTATCAAATTCCTCATCCAGCTCATCGGGATGAGCAGTATCAGCACAAGAAAGGCGAGTATCCATGTGAGGAGGATGCCTTGGCCTCCATCTGTAGTACCAAATTCCAATCAGGAACAGATAGAGGAAAATGGTAGGTAGAATAAGCTCTGGATAAAGAACCAGTATCAAGAACAGGATATGGATCAGAACAGTCGTAATGGGATTTTTCCAATTGCATATTTGATCAAACCATTTTCCGACTGAAATTACCACACCTAAAACACCCATAATCCTGAAAAAGTTAGCCTTGCTTCTCCTCATGCTCCACATATGAGAAGTAACATCCAACATATACTCTACTATCTCTTTCCTCAAAGGTGGCTCAGCACGACTCAGCCTCAAGGACACAATCTGAGTGGCTTGGTGCCTCAAGTTGTCCAGCTGCGTAACAGTTAACGGATGAAGATAGTGCATTTTCGGTAACAATGGCTGCGAGTACATATGCATCATATTCACCAACGACGAGCAAGTAAATCTCACAGCCAAATGAATTTCACCCATCTTCTTCACCCCAGTAGGATGCAAGACCAGCAATGGGTATGAATGCGTGTAGACACGATCAGTTTCAAGAGTCGAAAGACGGATCCTGACCTTTCCAATCCTTGAGTCCCTTGCCCCTCCAGATTTATCTCCTCCTTGCAGATGGCAATTATCAAATACACCAATAGTTATAACAGTGCAAGGATCAAATACTTCCCACGTGTATTGCTCATTCCATCTGGGAGCAAAGCTATCTATAATTGTCCTTGTCCGCACCCACTTCTGCCCATACTTTGCTACACAATAGGCATCTGTCGTTGCCCGCCCATCCTTCGTTTTCATTGGTGACAGGCCCTGAGCGCTCAGAACACCTACTTCAAGAACACCGATGCTAGATTTCCACAGCTGTTTTGCAGTTGGCCTAAGATCACTACTGTAATGGGTTGACTCATCCAGCACATGGTAGCCTCCTTCCAAACATACTCTCATATGAATCCGGCTAGCAAACTTGATTTCCTTCTTTTCACCCTCAACAATAACATGCTTCTCAAGATTAAACCATCTCGTGTTCACAGGTCTATGGTCCAACCTCCTATCCACGTACTGCAAAGGAATTGCACACCTCCCAAGGACTTCATCCTTGTTTGCAACTCTATCTTCCACACTCAAAATCAATGGCTCCTCAAACGGTTCCGCTGCTACAAACATCAGATCCTCATTCCACAAGGGATTGATAGTCTTGCTCATGGAAACTCTGGTCCTCAATGCTTGATTTCCAAGCATGGCCTTGACGTAAACTTCTGGAAACCTGCTTTTGTCATTTGGAATCAAGTCTTGAGCCTCGATCACGTTAACTCTTAGGTACCACAATTTTGGCGAGAGGTACACCTTAGACCTTATATTTGCAAGGCCATCAGCCCCACTAACAGCTGCAGCATCTGAATGCCAAGCTTCAGGAAAGGCTTCATCAGCTTGATTTCCCATCCAAACAGCCAACATCAACTCCCCTTTGACTTTGGTACCATTCCTCTCCTCCAACCTATACCACTGTGGAGCGAGAGGACTGTCTGGGGGAACCCTTTTTGGGATATCATTCAAATCAAACAGGACACGACCCACAAAGTCATCCTTAACAAAATCCTTATCTTTCACAATTACTTCAAGTACAGAAGCCTGAATCCTATCTTTTGAGAAAGCAAACACCTGACTCCACTCAGGATTCGACTTCTTCTCAAAATGACGAGTCGTACCCTTATAATTCCCGAGCTTAACCTCAACATAAGGATCAAGACTACCTGTTACATCCTTTGCAGGTAAATCCTTAGCTTTCACAACCCGGACATAAAGATACTGCATTTGCTCAACAAGGTCATATGTGCTAGTGAGCTTATCACCAGTGATCTTCCCTCCACCAAGGTGGGGTTTGGTCTCCTTGAGTGAGAAATCTTCTTGATGGGGCCTCTGCATTTTCGAGGTTGACGCAACAACACTTGACACAAAACCTTTGTCAAAAGCACAATCACCACAAAACCCCTCTAGTTCTCCACCAGAATGTGACCCAGTGATCAACAGAAGGAAGACCTCAGCACAGACAACCAGTTACCGACAAAGAGAACTCCCAAATTATGTTACTGCACCAAAATAGTGAATCAAAACAGTGTGAAACAACTGTATTCAAAAAGATGAGATAGCAAAATCTAGAGAATGTCGACTAGCAGATCTTTGTCACATGAATAACTTAAGAGTTAAAAGTGGGGAAAAGAACCACTTGAATGACAATCAGAATAATGACAAAAACATTCACAGCCAGATCTGAATGCTTCAAACATCCATAACATCAAAAAGAAAATAAAAATCAGTTCTAATTCCCTTCAAAACAGCAACAACAACAACATATCCGGTGTGATTCCAAAAGTGGGGTCCAGGGAGGGTAAGGTACAAGGCAGACCTTACTCCTACCTCGCCTCGAGGAGGTAAAGAGGCTGTTTCGGAAAGAGCCTCAGCTCAAGTGCAGCAAATCAAAGTAGTTATCGGGAAAAGCAACAACATCGAAATAGCGGAACAATGTAATATCAGAAACACAATAAACAACAAAAGATAACAGATATCAAAAACACAAAACTTTACTAATAGAGCAACCATAAAAAAAGCAATCTTTAACCAATGCTATGACAAACTGTATACAAGAACTACTCTTACCCGCATAAAGAGAAAGTTAACAAAAGCAAAAGCAAAAGCAAACAAAACCAGTCATTTGAAAGCCAAAAATCAACCACATTATGCTGAACAGGCACCAACAACTAAACATCATCCTAGCATTCAAAACACACACAACCCAAAAAGCATGAAAAAAATGAAATCAATTTTTTTTCTATAAAATTACATCAAAAACAAAAACCCATAAAGAAAAAGTGAATGTACCTTGAGGTTTCATAGAATCTGAAGAGGAAAGATTGGATTTTTACTGACAAGGTTATCAAGAATGGAGTCTTAAGGAGGAAAAAAAGCAAAAGGGGTTTGGGGTTTTGCTCTTTCTTGAACCAAAGTGTAGAAGAAATGGTGTAGTGAGCCAAAATCAAAAGTGAAAAAGGTAACAAAGTACACAACACAAGAAAAAAAGAAGAAAACAGTGAAGAGGGTATAAGAGAGCTCTGTGTTCTTTGTCTGATTCCAATGGGGTGGGGTAGGGGTAGGGTGGGTTGGGGGTGAATCTGCTGAGATTTTGTGTGTGAATATTTGTGTTTCTGTCCCTCTGTTCTTTTTAAAAAAATATTACCAGTCTCCGTTCTAGTTCTATTTTACATGTCATGTTTGATTTAGAATGTATATAAGAAAAAGGATTTAAAATAATTTTCAAGTAATACGATTAAAAAATTATTTTATTCAAGTTAAAAAGTTTTAAATAATAATAAAATATCTTTTAAACGAATTAAAAAAAATAAGTATCACGTAAAATGTAACTAAGGATATTGTTTTTTCATTGAATTCTCTTTATTCGATGAGTGTGTCTGGACTTCACACGTGCCAATCCCATAGTGATTAAATATTTATTAGCAGCGAATTATATTTTATAATATAAGAAAATAATTGAGTCTTAATAATTAAAAAATTAAAGTAACAATGTGTATATCTATTATATGTGTTTTATAGTCATTCTGTTTTGATATTGAATGCTGAGGAATTTTAATGTTTTACAAGAAGGTAACTTTAGTAATTGGATCAATTATTATTTTCCTAGTTCATTATTTGTTGAAGATATTATAGATTCTAAAGAAATAGTATGTATAACAAAATTTATATAAGTTTTCTATTTAATTCAAGCTAATTATTGTATTGTCGTTTTTCTTTCTTATTTGAATAGTTTATGGAATAAATAAATATAAATTTTCTTTTTTTCTCGAATTTTATGTCACGAGAAATGTAAAATGTATAATTTCAATAACGTAAAATTCGAGACATTTATGATTATGATGCAAGAATGAGATTCGATAATGTCTGACACATAATTTAGTGTCACGTTTATCCTACTATCTCTGATTCATTTCAATTGTCGTTTTTTTCTTACTAATTTAATTCAAAATAAGCATCGAGTTAAAAAATCAAAAGAGTAATAATTACTCCTTTGAAATCCATTCCTAGCTCCAATAACAGTTCACATTATTTTTCAAGAACCCTCTCAACAATTATTACTCATTTTGACAAGATATAAAGGGCAATATAACGAGAGACTTTTACTTTTATTATTTTTAAGGGATAACCTAAACAATACGAGGGAGCATCAATTTAGCATTATTTGGTGGTTTCTTTTTAAAATTTGAGTGAGCATTTTTTCTGTCTCATTATTTTGGTTTAAATGTGTGGCCTAAATAAATAAAACATTAAGGTAGAGATGAACTATGGAGCTGACAAGTCGGTGAATAGTGTTCTCGAACTCTCTAAAATGAAGTTCCGCTGTGTTTGGATCCTTCAAAAAGCATTATTTTTGGCGGAGCCAACACACCTAAGAACATTTTTGAGAATCTAAGCAAGTACAAATAGATTGAGGAAGTACGGGTAGATGCCAGCAATCTCTTCCCAATATACAGCGCAAACAAAACGAAGATTGTGCTTAAATAAGGTTAAGGTCAGACTTCATTTTGCAAACCACGATTGTCTTGTAGCAAATCATAAAAAATCTGAAAATAGAGAAGCCATAGCATAGAGCGTCATAATATCGAACAACATATAGCCCATTAATACATCTGGTCAGGTATTCAAACTCAATCAAAAATCACCTGTGATGCTAGAAATAGAGTACATAGCATGCTTATTTGCATCAGACTTTCAGGTTAAAGGAAAAAGAGAACAGCATAAATCAAGAAGGTGTAGTCACATCATTCATAGTGAGCTTTCACCGAGTCACATTAATTCTGTCCAACTACCAATCATTCAGCAACGACTCTTTTCTTCGTTGTGTAAGGATAGTACTCCTTGCCATTGTCAGTTCTTGTGGTTGCGCCTAGTCCATCAATTATACCAGAAGTGACTGCAAGTGCAGCCCCAGCTGACAGAGCTGTTGGAATACTCCTTCCTGCAAGGATAACAGTCAAATTAGTTTGGCACCACAGTAACATTTGGATTGGTCTGTTACCAGAGGCAAGGTATAGAACACCATGAATAATTGAATGAATGATGTACTTAATCTGCACAACTGCCTTTTGCAACTCATGAGATCGTACACTCGCTGAATTCTAAACTTTTGGTTCATGAAAAGTTCATTCTGTGCAAGGAGGAAATCTATTGATCTGTTCTCAAATACCTGTAGCAGCAGCTGAGTCAAGGGGCTACTGCTCTCCGTAGCAAGAGCCATGACTATTCTGTGACAGGTCCTAAAAAAGACACACCCCTGTTTCTTTCTGGAACTAAATGAAATGCCATGGAAAATGGTTGTGGTCATGTTTAAGAATCTTTGTCCATACAGCACACAGATTAATGGGAGAAAAAATCTATTTATTGTTTGTGAAGTTAAAAATCTTAATAGGCATCTAAATTGCGATGATAAAGGAATTAAAATTAACCAAAACCTTCACTGAAACCAAGAACACCAGGGCAGGAAATGATAAGAATTAAATAGATGCACCCATCACAATGCCAATTGAATGCCAGCACTATAAATAGGCTCTCTACGCTGGATGTGAACTAAGAACAAACCCTTTTTTGTTATAAGAAATCAGTCCACAGACAATTTCTCTGTTAAAAGGATGTTGTTGGGTAGAGGAGGGGATTACCTTTGTAACCCAGCACAGAAGCACCAGCAACGAATCCACCCACTGCTCCATTAATAAAATCTCTTTTCACCCTATAGTTCTGCACCAGCTGTTCTACCCCTATATAGACTCCGCCAATAGCAGCAAAGGTAAGCCCGTGGTTTCCCATCATTTTCAATGTCCGGATCAAACCAGGAAGAGCAACATTTCTCTCAACACGGGGTACATCATGCCAAGTGGCAATAATGGCACCCCAAAGTGTACCAGCAACTAGACCTGAGGTTGCCCCTTTCAGTGTTTTCATCCCTGCTGTATCCTCCTCTTCATAATACCTTAGCTCTGCAGCCTCATCCATGATTTTACTCTATCCTTGCCAATACGCCAGTAAAAAATGTGAAAACAAGATATGCTTGAACTAATAATCAGATATCAAAGGCGAGAGACAGTGAGAAATAGTGTGTCGCGAACATAAATATTTGAAGCAAGAAAACATCATCATAGTCCACAAGAAGCAAATGATGAGAAAACAATGATCACATAAATTTCGGCCATCACCCTATATGCTTACCCAATCCCATACAAAAAAGAATTCATAAGATTGTGCCTGTGTGTAGATCTATAACTACTCATTCTGCCTTCTAATACTGCCTCAATTTTTAGTACCCGCTACTGGAATTACAAGTTCTCCATATGAACAATTCAAGATGATGGAAAACAGAACTACTAAAAAGCTTTGTTGTTCAGACTCTTTAACAAAATTGCCTTGGTGTGTGTTGGATCCTCCAAAAGAAGTGCATATTTGGAGGATTCGGTAAGGGTGTGGCACCCGCCACTGTATTTTTGGAGAATCCAAGCAACATACATTAATAGTATATGGTATGGAACTAATTTTACAGCTTTTTTTCTTGTGATTAACAGATATCTTTGCAATTGCATTTATTTTAAATACTTATTAATCATTCTAAAAAAAAGGACTTGGATGTTATACACCATTCAGACATTCTTTTAATAGTCTATAACCAAATTAAGTAGGTTCAACAAAAATGTGAGGAAGAAGCAGAAGAAGTTCGTGAAGGAAAATGTGAGCTTCACATTCAGAAAACCATCAGAAGTCTAAGTTAGGCTAGACAATTGACCTTCCCTCATATCACTACACCTTGTGCTTGAAACTCAACTGAACATTTGATTTTTCCAAGACACGCGCTATCAATTGATCACCAAGTTAAGAGATATGCCACTAACCATGTGTGATGTACGTAGATGTGTATGAAGGTTAGAGATAAGCAAAAGATATAAAGACAACCTATAAGTACATGCTCAAGCAAAGGCAGTGCCTCTCTTACCGTCAAATTGTAACACATTCCAGACATGACAGAGAGTTATCACTTATCGCATCTGGTTACTTCAAATTCCATGTTAAAAACGTTTATCTAATCAGAGAAAATGAATTGACAATTTTTTTCTTTTAAATAAATCATCTCAACTAAAGGATAACCCTGTCTGTTACATAGGAATCTTTGAAGACAAATAAAGGTTTATCTTATCTAAATCACCACATCGAAAAATAGAAAACACTCTAGTTCCTTTCAAATGGAGCACATCATTAGATGCTACATTAATCCCAAACTAGTTGGCATAGCCCATACAAATCCTTTGTGTTCATTTCACTTCCATAGGGTTCATTTTATTCCAATACTAAATAGTCTTTTATGGAAAATTAGGGTACTTACCCCTATAGTTCGAGGTTCTCCCACTGTATGCATTTCGCTCTAGTCGGGCCCATTTTAGTCCAATAATAAATAATTTATGTCTACTACTTTTTTAAGACTGCTATGTTATGCTCTCTATACTATTTTGTCATAGCTTCTCCACTTGGTCATTACTTTTCGACCTGCTTTGCATTGCTTTTCCTTGAGCCGAGGTTCTATCGAAAACAATCTCTCTATCTCCCAAGGTAGGGGTTGCATACGCTCAACCATCCCCAGACCCTACTCATGGAATTACAATGGGTATGTTGTTGTACTAACTAATTTGTCTTTCAAGGAAAATTAGTGGTACCCTCCTAAAGCTCTAGCTTCTTAAGCTCACACTTATGAATTACACCTACACCAATATACAAGTTTTTTGTGACCATAACAAAAGGGCTATTAGCAAGCAATGAACCTAATATAGCAACAAATCATCCTTAATCTTAACAAGTCAATATCATCCACATGCTCTTCCATTCTCTAGCTCCTCTAACAATACCAAAAGGATAAGGAAAACAATTGCCAATTAAAATGAACTAAAAAACTGCGATCCATCACACAGGCTTGTCCACAATCCATATTTAAAAAAAATCTCATATTCCATTCAACTGAAAAAACTCTACCCCTTCTATGAACCCTAAAATCGGATTACATTACTAAATTTCTCTAAAAAAAAATTAAAAAATTGTTATTTTGAAATACAAATCGTTCATGTGCATTTAATTACAAGAAAATCAACCATATAATTTGTATAAATAGAGAGAGTTAAGCTCAGAGAACTCACCAAGCTGGAAATCGCACTGATCTGTTTCGCGATTTTTGTGAAGAGAGAAGGAAGTGAAGAAGATGGCTTGTGCAATGTGGGTAATATATTGATCCAATGGATCAATATTGAGATTTCGGCCCAATAAACAACGCACATAAAACTTTTTCTAATGGGCTTTATAGGCCCATTCTTGTTTTGCAAATCTAACCCATTTTGGAATAGTAGAAATAGCGTCCACTTACCATTGTCGCTTTTTCGTCTTGTTCAAAGTCATGAAGTTTTATCTTATGATGAAGTTGTGTTTAAATATACCATTTATTTGAAATTGAAGTTATGATCAAATTTCATGGTCAAATGTTGGCTTATTTGTAAAGTTTACCTATCGAATTATTTGCACCACATTCCCTTTTTAGGCCACTTTTTAAATTATGTGTCAATATATTCTTCCCATCTTAACATTTTTTTCACGTAAAAGAAGGATTATATTCTAATTGGCTTATTTTTAAGGGAAAATTTCATATATGGCAAACGGATGTTATGAAATTACATTTCATGGGTATAGTTTATATAATTACATTCCATGCGTATAGTTTAGTTTGTTAGGTGACTCTAAATTTGTATAAAACGTTTTTTTTAATTAAATTTATACAAAAAAAAATTATTTTTCAATAAATGGTAAAACTAGCACAAAAGATGCTAACAATAAATTTAATCAATCCCATGATTTAAGCAAAACATTCAAAATCAAATATTTCCTCAAAAAAAGAATTCTAAAGCTATAGAAAGACAATACCAGTTCAAAATCAAATATTATGAAACACACACAGAGATATTTTTATATATAAATTGACTATATTGTATATATTTGTGAAATTGTATATAATTTTATATAATATTTGTGTGTAATTGATTTTGTGTTTTAAATTGTATATGACCATCATATATTCTTTTAATTTTTTTGGATAATCTTTTTGTATAGAATATTTTATTATGTTCCTATTTTTTCTTTTTGTATAATTCTAGAAATTTGTATAATGTACAATAATTTTGGTATATATATTATAGTTATATATGTGCATCTGTGATTTCATGTTTTTGTTTTTTTTTAAAAAAAAAGTATTAATGATTAAACTGATTGTATATAATATTCATTTGTTAATGTATATATAATAAGCTTGAAATATGTTTCTATATTTGAGGGTGTAACGTTTATATATACAATATTTTATTATATTCATAATTTTTTGTATATATCGACGAATTTGTATAATATATTATAATATTAAAGAGTGATTTACAAATTTTTTATACAAAATTAAATAATTGTATACAAATAGCTATTGCCTCATAAGACTTTGTATATGTTACCTTAATATACACCCACTATATACCTAACTTTAGTGATTGGTATACAACTAATAGAATATACAATTGAGAACTGTTTCATAATACATTGTATATATTAACTTAATATACAAACCACTATATACATAACTTTGTAATTTGTATATAAATTACACTACATGATATTTCCGATATTCTTCATAATTTGTCCAGTTCTGATGAGGCAGATTCAATTGAATGACTTTATGAATTGCCATTGGGTCTTTTTTTTTCCATGGATCTCAATTCTTCAATAGATTGTTCAACTTAAACTTGTTTATGTTTTGCCATACACCCTACATTAACCCAGAATCATGAGTTAATCCAATTGAAACGAAGGTGGATTATCAACAACATTGACATGCAATGACATACCTCTCGTAATCCTCATAGATGGACATAAATCATCTATTCTGATTTTGAAAGACTTGTAAATTAATAAGTAATAAAGATTTTTAAAAAAAAATATGAAAAAACTAACAATCATACTACATATACAATTGTTGTAGAAGGAATCAAGAAAAAAAATATTGAAAGCCATGAATTTGGCACTACCTACGAAAAGTGGAAGAACATCGGAGGGAGAGGTCGAAATTTTTCCAATGGAAATTCAAATCAGAAGGGAAGAGTAATTTTAGAAAAATATATGGAATGAAAATAGGAGAGATAAATTTGATTTTGAATAAAATTATATAAAGATCTTTGGATGACTATTTTTATTCTGTATACAAATAGATAGTGGATCACATTAATTATGGCAAAAACATGAAACTGTATTTACTGACCGTAAATAAATTAAACTATACCCTTATTAACTAATTACATAGGGATGTTTGCCATCCCATATAATTTTCCCTATTTTTAAGAAGTAAACAATAATAGCTACCCTTCCCCTGAAACGTGATGGGATGGACGGAATTCCTACCCCTTAATCAAAAGTGTCAGGTTTCAAGTCTTAGGAAATGGAGAGTGTTTCCCCCTATAGTGGGTCTTATACAGTAGTCAAGCCGGTGTGCTACACATACCGGATGACTTGATCAAAAGTTAGCAACAACCAGCTACAAGTGCAGAAATGAAAAATCAGCAAGAGACGTGACTATTGTTGCATCATAATGAAGCATATTTATTGATAAATGTTCAAACTTCATCTAACCCCTTGAATATCATTTAGCAAGAGGAAAAAATCGAAGCAAGTCATTGAAAAGTTCAAGAAGAAAACGATAGTCATCTGGGGTCTAGCCCAACAGAAATGCACACAAGTTGGCATAATAGTAAAGGTCATTTGTCAATAGACAGCCTTTAAGATATCAAACTAGATAATGAACAAAATAGTCTTACACATTGTCATCATAAACGAAGGGGAGGACAATCAAAGAGTCCAGTGCACATTCTGAACAGAAGGATGATAACCCTTAGACTGGTCCAGTTCCATGTATTGTCTTCCATCACCATGCTGAGCCATCCCAAGCTCGCCACAGTATGGATTATCAGAAGCTTGTAACATTTGACCCAAACCGAGATCAGGAGGCATCTCATGTGAACTGCTGCTAGCTTCATTTCCTTTGAAACTCAATGAAGGGCTTGAGAAGTGATTGGTAGGTGCACCATGAGAACCTGAAGGTTGAATGGTGTGTACCCCATCAATGTGAACTTGGCTGTTGACCCCAAGACTTGGGGGTCGATTCCTTGATCCCCAGGACCGATTTGACAGAAGAGAGAGAGCACCACTTGAATCTGAGACTCCAGGAAAATAGTCTCCTGAAGGAACACCATGATAACTGGTCCTGGTAGCTGAACCTTGCAAAACAAGCTCACTAGCAGCATTTTCAGAGTTATTCAGCCAAGGACGTTGAAGGAACTTCCCTGATGATTGATGATCCCATCCTTGTTCAGATGCTCGAGTATTTGGCCATGAACTCTCATTGACATTTTGGTGTGAGCTGAAGTCTACCAGAAAGCTTCCGGATCTACTGCTATTATTTTCTACGAGTTCAAACCAGAATAATGAAAGTCAGCCTTAAGTTCTCTCTTTCTAAGAAAATTTTCAAGTATTAACACGAACAAAAAGAAAGGGAGAGGAATGCTATCATACCAAATATTGATGAAGAAAGATTCCCATAGTGTGTAGAGAAAAGAGAACCAGATGGAGGCTTCCTACGACGCTCATTATGGCATGCCAGTCTCCTGCGGCAACTCCTTTTCCCCTGGTCGAATTCAGTTAATTGGTGGAACCTGGAACGAAGTACCGAGCAGCTATAATCATGATTCACGAACAAAGGAAGCTATCGAAAAGCCACAAGTTATCTGAGAAGATGAGCTTGCTGACCTCAGATAAGACTTTTTCTTGATTTCAAATCTCTCATGGCAAGTATTATAATCTCATTCTACAAAGTAGAAAAGCTTACTGAAACAAACACCCCCTTCATGGTACTACCTACCCCGCCCCCGGCGTTTACATCAAACCAAGCAATTCAACCATAATAGTTATAAATTAAACTGAGAATACATGTTGCTTTAACCATGGTTAAGTAAATGTCTGTATGAAAGACACATGTCTTGCATTCAATCATTTGGTGTAAATATCTGGCACAACTAAATTCACCCCCCCCCCCCAAAAACCCATTCAGATAGGTATCATCTAAAATCACGATGTCCTAAAATTGTGGAACATGGCTCTTGACAAAAACAAGTTTTTCTGCTGTCACAGTAGAAAGTTTACTTCAAAGTCGGCTTTTTCACGTAGGCATGACGACAGATTATGAGGTTTCCACAACACAAGCTCTATGGCTCCCATAAAATAGTCTCAGAATATACGAAGATACATTTGTTTCTAATCCTCTCTGTCAATCTTTAGTAATAACAATATCAGATTAACAAGTAATGCTTGCTAGAGCAAATACATTTGTATTAAGTTTAAACAAACACAATGAATTGTTTATTCAGGTAAGAACAAGCATATAACATAGATGGCGTCTTCGAGTATTGAAGGAAAACAAAAACGTATGCACACATATATGTGACAGAAACACACAAGTATTGAGTTATTATCGGAGTAACACTAGTGACTGTGAGATATTAGATTCCTTATGTGCTATCAAGAGCAAAATACTGACTGTACATGGGTTGATGGGATTTATGAACTGTTAAACGTTTTACATCAAAAAGGTGCATAGCTCAAAAACTTCATGACTAATATCACTTCTTACTAAATTTTCACCTAATAAGCATTGTGAGATATGCCTAATGCCTATAGTATGGACAAAAGTTTTGGTTTGAGACCATTGCCAATGGAAAATTAGTACCTTGACAGTTAATCAACACCATAGTTATATCTAACCATCATATACGCAAATTTCAGCTAACCATATAATTCTCTCACCACCAATGCACCAAGATGGACTTCAGTACTTCTGTTAAGGCAAAGAGGTAAAGTTGTATCGATAGACATAGAAACATACTAATTTTTTTGACAGATAACATGTAACATATTAATTTGGTGTCATTCTTGGTGATTCTAATCTTTTTGTTGCTCAATGCATTTTATTCTAGCGTTTAGTTCAATACTTCGTTTATGAAATCTTTAGCATGTAAATGAAGTTAACCAAATCAAAACCACGGATGTAATAATTTCTATTCCCTTAGTATAGTGGATATAATGTGCTTAACAACCATAAATACCAGAATAAGGATTTCAAGTCACCAAGGAGAAAAACATAACTCTAGAATAGTACTCAATATTCTTATCTGAAAAGCTAGTGAGGCATGACATAACAGAAACTAATATAGCAGTGATTCTGCTTCCTACAATATGCTGCCCTTTATTTTCTAGCAAAAAACAACTCAATAGGATAAATACCGATCTTGTGAAAACAATTATCAATGTTTCGGCATAGATAGTAGTAAGACCCTGAAATGCCCGAGCACGTCTTGTATGACTTGAAACGTTTTATAAACTTGAGATGATAAAGGGCCGAGTCAAAACACTATAGTGATGGTGGTTGAAGAAGTCCATGGGGAATACGAAAGATTAATACCTAAAAAGAAGGATAAAAGATTCAAACGAATGAAACATGCCTTCAGGAGGTATCCATTCTATAATGATCCTTGAATCACAGTTTTCCTTCTTTGATGTATAATTTTGCCAACAATGAAGTTGCAGCCAAGAAGATAAGCGAAGTCCATAAAAATCAGAAATTGAGGAAACAGTATGCCTTTAGATTCAGTGAAGGGAAAAGCTTAAAGAGGATGAGGAACTTTTCACTTACTTGCCTCCACTAGAAAGGAACGGAAGTTTCAGTCCTCATGCCAGATAAAAGCATCGCCATCTTTCCCGAAAACTAAAAGCAGGAAAAATAGGAGGACAGATAAAGGTCGGTAGGAAAGAAAGATAATACTTTCCTTTGCAGATTGTCTGCCATTTCAGTTTACCTAACATGTCTATAGAAGAGGGACATCACCCTTCTTTTCCAACTCAAACAGAATGCTCACATACATACTCCCTCTGTTCCAATTTTTGTTTAACTTACTTTCCTTTTTAGACCGTTTGAAAGGAATATCTCTTTCGTAATTTGGCAACTACTTCCTTCATGAAATGTTTAATACCACAAAATTAAAGGACTTCGGCTATATTCTACATAACTTTAGTTTAAGACCACAAAATTCTCAAGTCTTCTTTACTTTCTTAAAATTATACAAACAAATTGTAACGGAGAGAGTAAAACCTTTAGAAGTTGACAAATGAAATTAATTTGTTGATATGCACCAAATGACAAGGAGATACATGATTCCTTAAGTTCTCAGACTATCTCCTCTTATTTGTTTCCTCTTCCTTTCCCTTGAATGTAAGAAAACAAACACATATTGCTTCTCCAAAGTCATCTAGATGAAGCAGAAAAGCGCCAAGAAAGCCTAAATGATACTCGGACAATACTATAAGCAAGGAATTGTTAACACAACATTCACAAAATCTTTTGTCCTATTTAAGCACAGTATCTCAAATTAATAACTTCCAAAATGTTGTTGGATCTAAGGGATAAGGAAAGACACCAGAACCAGCCAAAAACTACCTCTACTTTAACTAGAGAAGCCAACCAATTATAACTACTAAATCAGAACAATCATTTCACAAACCCACAACCTTCAACTCTCTCCACCAAGCCAGTATATAAACAATTACAAGTACAAGAACCACTATTTTATTAGTCAAAACATTAAAAAACAAAATTGCCATCCCTTTATACTACAAAGAGTGAAGGTAAAAAGAAATAGAGTATCTCGATTATTCGAGTTTCATATCATAACTGGAAAATGTGGATATTACTCCGCGAACTATAACCAATTACTTTGTAAAACCACACCCCAACTATCCATTGTTCGCTTTTCTTTACCTAAATAATGGTGATATTTCAGGTAGAAAAAGGGAAAACTCATAGTTAAGGTTTGTTTTGATAGTTGGTGATAGTTTAGATAGAGAACTGGCAAACTTACTGATTCGGGTTTGAAACTCATAAACTAGAATACTTTAGGTGTGTTTTATAGCATGAACTTACTTTGTAAAGTGAGTTAATTATCCCCACCTGCTGTGCATATGTTGTGTCTGCTATTGACACAGCTATATAATATATATAACTAGTTCATAAATACTTCTCTAAAAACAGTTGTTAGTATTATAGCAAATATGGAAAATTAAGCTGACCTGCTACACTGTTGGCAAAACCTCTGTTCAAGACCAGCAACAACAACAGTAGGAGACTTAGAGTGCATACCACAAACTTTATGCCTAGAATAGTAAGCCTTAGCATCACTCAGATCTGCCTGACAACCTTCAACTTGGCACCTAGGTGGATGACCACCCTGCACCAACCCACCCCTCCCCCTCTTAGTCGTTGCCGGAGCCGGTGGCAGGTTCCCATCTCCGTTCACCGGCGACGACCCACATCCATTCTTGACCTGAACTCCAACACCCGCATTTCCAAAGTAGATTTTCTTGCCAAACTTCAAGCCATTCAAAGAATCAGATGAGCTTGAATTACCCGAAGAAGACACTGAACCCAGTTCCATTATAGGTTCAAAATCATAATAGAAACTGTACCCATATGAAGGAAAAACAAGATACTGGTGAAAAAGATCAGTTTTTTTTTCTTTATTAGTATATTTTGGGGTTATCTCGATATGGGTATTGTTAAATTTTGTGCATTTTTGAGTATATAGAGGTAGTAAAGAAAGTAGGAGAAAGAAAGGGTAGTAGTGAGATTTTCATTTTTTGCTTTGTTTGTTTGGGGCATTGTGAAAAGTAGACACCTGACAATGGGCCATGATGCCAGCTTGGGAGGTTGTGCAGGTACCCCATTTGCTCTGAAGAGACTGTCAAATAATGGAGGTGAGAGCAGAGCAAAGAAAAGAAAGAGAGAAGAGAGAGCTTTTTGAAGAGTTCACAGCAGCTTTACAACTCTTGATGCTTTTTGGGCTCACTAACTCCCAACTGCCATGTTATAAAAACACACAATTTTCTAATCTTTGCTTCTTCTTCCTCAAACTTGCATTTTCATTTTGTGTTCGATATCTGATTGAATAATCTATATTCGTTTTAAACTTATTTAAATTCAAAAATCTTTGGTTAAGACTACAGGATCTTGTATGTCAAATAACCCTTTAATGGCCACACTTGTTAGTATTTTCCATGGCTAAAAATAATGAAGACCAAAAATGATGAGGGTTACAATTATATTTATTTTACTTTTCATGGACGTTGTTTTAAGGAGTCTAAAGTTTAATCTTGAATTTGATAGACTTTCAATTTAAATCAAGAATTTTGATCTTGTCTTTTCTTTCTACTTAGTTCATGTAGTTATGATATCTTTTTTTCGTTCCTATATAAGCTCATCATTTATGGCGATAAAATAAAAACGTTCATGATAAAATAAAAAATATTTATCATGATTTGATCATCATCCACTTTCCTTTCCGATAGATGTCATAGAAAATTGACTTTGAGTCATATTTGTAATGGCTACTTCATTATACTAGATGTCACATTTTTTATATTAACACTTGCATGACCTTTAAGATTAATAGACATTTGTACAATGAGTTTTAGAGCTTCTAAACTTTTTTGAGTAGAAATTTGAATTAGTTTTTCACAACATATTGTACATATGAAATATAATTGGGGCCCTTTTGCTTATCTTTCATTTATTACTATTATTATATTTCCATCTATCACCTTGCTATGACTTGATGTAAATGCTATTGATGGAATCTGTTTCATACTTTTGCCCAAACACTTCTCTCTCCAAAAAGATACTTTGCATTTTTAATCCCCAATTTTCCTTGAAATCCCAATTTTCCCCTTAAGTTTTGAGAGAGGAAAATGAATACCTTTTAATTATTTTTTTTTTTAGTCCAATAATCATGTAGATTAACTCTTTTTTTTCCATTTTAACTTTTAATAGGAGATATTCTTTTTTTATCCTTGTTTGTAATTTTTAAGAAGAAGCTGATTATTTATAAAAATATTTTTCATCTTGAAAATAAATAGTTCTGATATCATATTATTTCATTTTCTGATACAAATATTTTTTTTTCAATATCAATTATTATTCTTGATATAACGCATCCTATGATTAGTAATCATCTACGAAAAAAGTTAATATCAAATTATCATCTCAAAACTATTTATGATTGTCCAGCGTACCATACGGCCCCTTCCAATGACACAATTGTCGGTAAGTAAAAAAAAGTTGAAAATGGAGAAAAGCTATAAAATTATTTGCTACTGTTTTTGTATCTCTTTTTAATAGACAAATTACCCTCAAATAGAGGGCAATAATGCAAATAAGTTGAACATAAAAGTGGCATTTGCTTTGGGCAAAACTAAAGGATATTTATGCCATTCACTATTCAAAATTGAACCATTTGAATTGTATATTTCTATTTTTCTCATAATTTAAAAATTAATGAAAAAAATTTAGTCAAGTCGAGCCCTATTCGAAACAAAATCTTTTCTTTCCTTCAACCAATGGTTAAATAGACAATTAAAATGAAACGGAGGAAATAGTAAATTTGTAATAGAATCGTAGATTTTTATTTTTTATTTTTAAAAGAAAAGACAGGGAATAAGTCTTTTAGGGGACACCAAATATCAAGGCAGAAGCAAAAAATAAAATAAAATTTTGAGTAGTTGAAAAGGCATGTGTTTATATAGTAAAAACATACATTTTGACTGTAGACTCATTTCATAGTTTCAAGTGCTTTTATGGGAAATTGATGCTGTAAAACTGTGTGTACGTGTGTGTCTGGGTATCTGTGTGCATGCCTCCAAAGCACACACCAATTTTGTCTCATTTTTTTTTTATAATCGTGCTATTTTGAGTCAGTTTACATGCATCTCGATTAAATTCGTAAAATATCTTTCATATATAAGAAGTAACACCTTTTTATTAAGAAGTTCTATTCACATAATTCGAACTTAAAATCTTTGATTAATAAAATAGTGTTATTCCCATAGTTTCTTGTTCTTTATTTTTTGTTACTATGTCTTATATGTCAGTTATTGTATTATTTAACTATTGTTACTATGTTATGCTTTCCTTAGTACCATTCACGATGGATTCTTCAGTTTTTTTGTGTTCAAAACTTTTTTGAATTGTTTTCCTTTTTTTTTTATTTGAGTTTGAAGTTCTATTGAAAACTGTTTCTCTACCTCCACTAGATAGGGGACGACTCTTCCATAATCCCTCGAGTTTCGAAGATAGAAACAACAGATTTCTGGATTATCAAATTAACAAGACAACTAGTCAAGTTCAGAAATTCTACAGGAAGGGCAAACTGAATCAAGTAGTTACAATACTCAACTTAGTCCATGATCTTTTCCTATACAAGAACATCAAAAATGTTGCACAAACCCGAACAACAACAACATATCCAATGTAATTCCACGAGTAAGGTCTGAAGAGGGTAGACTGTACGCAACCCCTATATTGTAGAAGTAGAGAGGTTGTTCCGGATAGAGCCTTGGCTCAAGGAAACCCCATATTCTAACAATTTTATTTCCTATCTCTTTAGGATGTAGAACGAGGAGAACAGAACATTATCATAATCATGTCACAAATCCTTTCCATCAACAAAACTAGTAAACTGAAAAAAATACAACAGGCCTGGTCAGATTATCCAAGAATTTTTGCTCAAGTAGCATATCGCGAATTACTTACAAAAACACCTGATTGCTGCAATAAATCACAAGAAGTCCTCTAAATAGGACATCCTCATAGAATATGCAGACACTAAAAAACTCAGTTCATGAACCATTTCTACAAAATCACCAGAAGAAATCTATTGTTTCATATTAGTTTTCATGTAAAGTACCAACCACTTTCCTTAGTAGCATATCTATTGTTTCAGCTCAAGAAGCATTTCTCATGAAGTTTCACCCTCAAATAACTTTCTTCCACTTACATAAATCACAAAAAAATAAGACAATAACATCTCGGTTTTCAAGTGTAGTAGTAACCATTTCACATCGTCTCTGATGCAAGGGTCGGGAAAGGAAGAAACAAGTACGAAGTAGATAAAAAGTTTTGGAGCTAATATGTGCTTTGTTTAGACTTGAGTTGGACCAAATTCATATTTATGCAGAGCCATTTTTATCAACAGCCGCAAGACTAGCTAGGGGATCGACAGAGCATCAGTTGTCCCAAGAGTATTTGTTCCTCGAAACAGATTTTGAGGTTTACATATTTCAAGAAAAACTATGACCCAAGGCTCTGACACAAGGTATGAATGAAAATTTAGATATCACGAGTTGTATCTTATAAACAGAAGCTTGTTTACACCAGTGGAGGAACTATTCTTAGACATTATGTATATTAAAGCAATAGAAAGTGCATCTAAGATTGGATGAAGCGAAGCCATAGTATCAAGAGAAATAGCTTCCAGTTTTCATGTACGATAAAGTCAATGGGATTAAATATCAGTGAGAAAAGCAAAAGGTTTATGATACAAACTCAAGTTCCAATAAGCCCGTCCTCTTTGATTCTGCATATCAAAAAGTGGCCTTCTTCCAGCTTCACTCACCAGCTCAGTCATTGCTGCAGGAATTCTTTCTGGTCATTTGAAGTTCAGCTTCACTCACCAGCTCAGCCATTGTTGCAGGAATTCTTTCTGGTCATTTGATGGTATACACCAAGAGGCCTAGTCATGGTTGTTTAGTATATGCATACAAATGATAGATGAAGAAAAAGTGAACCATACATTTCAAAATGGAAGTAGAAAAAGTCACCATAGAGGAGAAATATCATTCTGGATATTGATGAGACATGCAAAATGAGAGAATTGTCAAAGGGATTCAGCAGCAATACATTCAGTAGAACTAAAACTTGCTGCAGAAATCATCACAAAATTCAAGTTGAAATTTCCAAAAAGAAGTAATTATAACAGGACTAAAATAGATAAGCACATGTAAGTAATCATAAAGTCAGTTCTCAATCACAACGAGGACCCTTCATCTGCACTCAACACCAACTTCGGCAGCCCGTCTAGGCTTGTTTTTCCTTCTGCTACCATTCGGTCTGAATCCAACTGACTTTATTAAGTCATTTGAGATAGTTTTAGTTCCAACTCCATTTTCCTCTTTCACAGAATCCTTATTTTCCATGACTTGGGAAGGTCTCTTCCTCTTCTTTCCATCTTCAGCTACTTGGTTCTTGATATCTTTATTCAAGACGGAACCTTTTGTATTCTCGCTGTCATCTTCATCATCCAGTACCTTCTCAATTCCTTCTTCCTCCTCTATTTCATCCTTTGGTTTCTGTGGTCTTCCCCTTCTCCGTGCTGGCATCTTCTCTTCTTCACCAGTCACAAGATCCTCACGAATAGATTGCTTCTTTGCCTTTCCTCTTCCTCTACCCATTTTTCAAATAAGAGAACTTTACTGGTAAAGATTCCTGCAACAAATCTGAGCTTCAGAGGCATTAAACTCAAACACACCAATAGAAAATTAAAGGTTTGCTGAATATAATGAAATAAACCACCAAAAAGAACCAACACAATTTTACATATGGGAAGGATGTAGTTAGGCTCATTAAAACAAGTTGTGGTGAAGAGGATCCCAGATGAAATCAATCACCGATGAGAACAATAAAAACAATAACTTTATTGTCTACTGTATCCTATACTCAATATTAAACTGAAAATAAAGTGGAATACAAACAAACATGAGACATAATATTTGTCCAAAACAAACAAACAAAATTATGTGTCTTCACACTAAGTACTTCAGCTAATTCAGCTCATTAAAACTATGATCCCAGATGAATTGATTCACCAATAAGAACAATAAAGACAACAACTTTATCTTCTACAACATCCTATCCTCAACTAAACCAAATACAATCAAATGTGAGAGATGAGATTTGTCCCAAACAAACAAAACTACGTATTCACACTCAACCTCAAGTAAAAACTGAACCAAAAA